GTTGCATGACCTTGGGCAAATCATTTAACTTCTGATGAATCTCAGTTTCCTCCACCATAAGATGGGAATAATATTTGCCATACATGCCTCATAGGGTTGTTTAAGGAAAGTGACTTGTTAACCTTCATGTACTATGTGAATGAGTTATTATTTTAGTATTTCATAAGGTTAATGAAACACTGCGATTGGCCATAGTTTGCTACATGATGAATTGCCCTTTCCCAGGTACGTGTGTCCTTGATACAGTCATAAATATCCATCAGTGAAATTCAACTTGGAAAAATAATGCATAGGACTCAGTTTAAACAACCAGAAAGCCAGCCTTTTGAGTAGCCGTTAGGAATGGAGTGGGCCATTCTGGAGTAGTTTTCAGAGACAGTAAGCCTAAGAGCAGAGGTTCAGATGGCAACAAACCCTTTGGAATGGCTGTGCATCCACAATTTTTGTGAGTTTGCATGAGTGAAGAAGAGTGCTCTTGGGATTTAACTCTTCCGCCACACCCACACGGTAGAGCAGGTTTTCAAAACAGATGACAGTGATAGTCCCCTCACAAATGCTTCTTTGAGAGGAAAAGAGGAAGAGGAAGAGGCAGGGATCCGTGTGTGAACTAGCTGACCTTGCTATTCAGTTACAATATGGATTACTTTGAAGAAACCGTAAATGCTGCTGGTGAATTTTCAAACCCGTCTGGGTAAATTCTGCTGACTTTACTTTCCTCTGTTTTCTCTGATTGTCTTCCTCACTCCTCCTCCCTTTTTTCCCTTAGTGCTTGTTTTTCTTGCAAAGGCAAGTGCTTTTGACGTGTCTCAATCACCAAAATGCACAAAATGATTACCATTCACATAATAACCCATAGAACTCCAACCTGAGAAATCAGACTTTGACCTTTTTTTTTAATCCATATTGCCCAGTAATAAAGTCCCAAGGGGAATCATTTAGCCCCTTTTTTTGCCTGAGTCAGAGGCCATGACATAGCAGTGGGTTTCATTGTGAATGAGGGATGTGTGCCTTCTGATAGGTTCGGCCGAGTTTAATTTTAGGTCGATCTTGGCTACTCCTTTTAGGTGTTTTATTTGGAGGTAGCAAGGTGTGGTATTGTTGTTCAGTTGTCTAGTCACATCCAACTCTTGGTGATCCTGTGGACCATAGCATGCCAATGCTGTACATGGGCATTTCTTGGCAAAGATACTGGAGCAGTTTGCCATTTCCTTCTCCAGTGGATTAAGGCAAACAGAGGTTAAATGACTTTCTCAGGGTTACGTAGCTAGTAAGGGTCAGAGGCTAGATTTGAACTTAGGTCTTGAGCTTAGGTACCTTAACTACTTAGCCCCCTAGCTGCCTCCAGTGTGGCACTAGATTTGGGCATTGGATTTGGAATCAGAGGATGTTTTACTTCACCTCTCTGGGACTCAGTTTCCTAATCTTCAAAATGACTAAAAGATCTGTAAGATCCTTTCCATATGGTATGAATCCTGTAGTGCCATGAGGCAATGTTTTGGGGAATATCTCACATTGTATCTCTATTATGAATTGTACAGTCATAGAATTTCAGAAGTAGGTGAGTACTTAGAGATCCAACCATCTAGTTTTACAGATGAGGAAACGTATAGCTGAACAAGTACTGAATTTTGAGTCAGAAGACCTGGAGGTTACTCCCTTAATTGGAACTACTGTTTTCATATCCTGGTTCTATCACCTTATAACCATATGTGTTGGGGCCACTTCTGCTGTCTGGGGCTCAATTTGCTCAACTGTAAAATGAGGGGGATTGGACCAGATGATCTAAATCATTTCTTCCAGCTCTAAATGATATCATCCTGTAAATCTGAAGTGACTTGTCCAGGGTCATGCAATTTAATAGTAGCAGAGCCCAGAATAGAACCCAGGACTCCTGATGTTCAGGTCCGTGCTTTTCTACCAGGTCATGTGCTGCATATTAGTCAATTTTCCTTTTGTATTCACCCTACTAATTCAGCACCTTCCACTTCCTAAATCCTTTGGAAGTAACATAAATCATAGAAAGTCAGTTTTACCTTTGCAAAATTGATTGTATCAAGCCCCTTTTCTCCACTCACAATGCAGTCCCTCAAATTTGTCTATCATCTCTCATCTGGATTATCACAATGGCCTATTAACTCTTTAGTGTTTCTCTCACTAAGCAATCTTTCACATGGCAGCCAAAATGACCTTTCTAAGGCATAGGTCTGACCATGATTTCTGTTTAAAAGCCTTCAGGGGATCCTTATTGCCTCCAAATATAAGTTCTTTAGACTGATGATTAAAGCCCTTTGCCAGATGAGGTAATGAAAAAATCCCAGACTTGGGGGGTTGCCAATTCAAAGGCCACGAAATGTATGGTGGAGTGTTATATGTGAAAGAACATTCCAATTGGAGTCAAGAAAGTCTTGGGTTTGAATTCTGGCTCTGATACAAGTTCTGTGACCTTGGGCAAGTCATTTAACTTCTGAGTGTATCAGGGTTTGTTAACCTGGGGTCTGTGAGCTTGGAAAAAAAGGGAAAGCTGTATTTCACGATCATTGGTTTCCTTTGTAATCATATGTATCTTATTTTATATACTTAAAAACATTCTGAAAAGAAGTCCAAAGGCTTCAACCAGATTGCCAGAGGAGTCTGTAGCACAAAAAGGGTTAAGAACCCTTGCCTTTGACAATCGGGCTTCTTTTACATTACTCTCCTTTGCCATACAACTGGACCCTTGCAATTCCTTGAACTTTCAGTATCGTGCCTTCCACTTCCATGTGTTCACTTGGTATTTCTTATGCCTGCAGTGTACTTCCTCCCCATTTCTGATGGTCAAATCCTTGCTGGGTCTGATACTGCCTCCTCAAGATGTTGCAGTTGTTAGTGTTATTTCTACCTTCAGATTTTCTTAGAATATTTTGGGTCTCAACCTTTGCTCTGATGACACTCTCTTATATTATTTCTGTGTGCATGTTGCATTTCCCTACCTCCTTGAGGGCAAAGACTCCTTAAAAATTTTTTTTTCCAATTACATGTAAACTTTTTAACATTTGTTTTTTAAAATTTTGAGTTCCAAATTCTAATCCTCCCTCCTTGCCCTTCCCCACTGAGAAGGCAAGCAATTTGCTTTGGCATATACACGTATATTCATGCAAAACATATTTCCACATTAGTCATGTTGTGAAAGAAAACAGACCAAAAATAAAAATAAAAAAACAAGAAAAATGAAGTTTAAAAAGTATGCTTCTATCTGCCTGAAGACTTTATCATCAAAAAAAATTCCCAGCCTGAAAATGTTGCCTTGAACATGGAATATGCTTAATGTGTTTGTTGAGTGTTGTTGAATGATGACATAGGTGGGATCTGGCATGATCTTAGCATGGTGTAGCATGATCTTAGCATGGTATAGTAGATAAAGTTCTGGACTTGGAGTCAGATAGACCTGGGGTCGAATCTTCCTTCTGATGCTTGTGATCACACAACTGGTGAGTGAGGCTCTTAACCTCTCTGATTCTCAATTTTCTCATCTGTAATATGGTGATAATACTAGATATGACTACTTTATTGGTAGTTGTTAGTCAATAGTAAATGTAAAGTGCTTTGCAATATTCAAATGTTAGTTATTACTCTCTGCCATGTTTTCAGGCACCACGTAACAGCAGCTCCAGTGAGACTAGAGAGAAGTCAGTCTGTAATTCTTTAGCCATAGTAGCCCTTGGGGAAGGCCAGGAGATTGTTGTCCTGTGTTCTTGGATATGGTAGTAATTGGGGTCATAAAATGCTCAGAGAGATAAGACTTTCACCTGAGCCTGTTCTTACTCTATAGAAAACTTTCCCACAGGGAAATTCTTATATTAGTTTTTCAAAGAAGAAAATTAGGACATATGGTTTAACAAAGACATTCCTTTTGAAATGCTTTGTTAAAGGTACATTAAAAAATTTTTTTTACTAATTTATTTTGATTTATCAACAATCACTTCCACAAGCTTTTGAGTTTTAAATTTTCCCCCCTCCCCCCCACCTCCCTTCCCAAGATGGCACCCAATCTGATATAGGCTTTACATATACATTCCTATTAAACATATTTTCACATTAGTGATGTTGTAAGGAAGAATTAGAACCAATAGGAGGACCCACCAGAAAGAGGAAACAAAACACAACAGAAGAAAAAAATAGCAAATAGTATATTTCAATCTGCATTCAAACTCCATAGTTCTCTCTTTGGATGTGGATAGCATTTTCCGTAAAGATACACTTTTACCAGGCTTGGTGGTACATGCTTGTAATCCCTGCTGCTTGGGGAGTCTAAGACTATTAGATTCCATGAATTGTGGGAGTTCTGAGCTGTAGGAGGGCTGAAGCTGATTTCATGTCTATACTATCTGGTACCAATGTGGTAAGTGCCCTGGAGCAGAGGGCCAGAAGGCTACTAAAGGAGGGGTGAACCAGTCCAGGTCAGGAAAATGGAGCAGGTCAAAAGTTTTGGTGTACATCATAATGAGGTCAAGCCTATGTATTTCTAGCCTTGGTGAGTTGGGGCCAGGTAGGTAGCACAATGGATGGAACATCAGGCTTGGAGTCAGGAAGATCTGAGTTCGAATCCAGTGTCAGACACTTACTAGCTGTGTGACCCTGAGCAAGTCACTTAACCCCTTTTGGCCTCAGTTTAGTGGGGACACATTGGAGAAGGAAATGGCAAATCACCCCACTATCTTTGCCAAGAAAGCTCCATGGACACTGGGGACGTTTAGAGTTGGACACAACTGAACGACTGAACAGCAGTAACTGACAATTACTGACTATATGACCATTGGCCTATCACTTGGTCTTGGTGACCTTTAAAGGGCTATATAACTAGACATTATTGTTACTTGTTCATTACAGTTGCAAAACATTTCCCTCGCTGGCTGGCTGTGGTGGTCTTCTCCCCATTTACTCAGTCTAAGTTCCTTCTATGAGGATCTTACTTTGGTTTGACATCAAAATAGGGATTTTGTCTGTGGCAAACTATACATTACCTGGAATTGGTAGACAATGCTCTGGCTCTTTCTCATAAGGATGAAGTAGATACTATATTAGCTAGTTTGCCCTTGTGAAGATACTCTGGAAAAGATGAGATGAGGATAGGTTGATTTCATTTGGGTCTGGGGGGAGTTAGTAAGAAGTAGGTGTGGCAGCTGGAAAATGGCATGGGATAGAGAATATGTGGGTAGAGGAGAGTATGTCCAGGTAAAATTGAGAGGGGGTAGTGAAAGAATAGGTAGGAATCCATGCCATGCTCTTGAGAGGACAGGGTAATGAGATCTTCTAGGGTGGAGGTAGAGAGGAAAAGAGGGTGGGGGAAGGACCCTTGAGGGGGTGAAGGTACTGCAGCTAAAGAGAGTCTAGGTCAGTCTTATTGATGTCCAGACCCAGTCAGAATTAGAATACCTAGGTGGGGGGGGGCAATAAATTGTATTTGTCTATTCAGGGGGAGTTATGCTTTGGTATTTGTAAAGATCCCAGGAATGTGTTGGATAAACCAGAACTGTTGGGAGTCAGGAGAGTAAATTCTCTCCAAAGTGACCTGGATTAGATGCTATTTCTAATTGTTCAGTCAATTTTTTTTTGTCATTTCTGTCTCTTCCTGACCCCATTTGGGGTTTTCTTGGCAAAGATACTGGACTGGTTTGCCATTTCCTTGTCCGGCTCATTTTACAGAGGAGGAAACTGAGGCAAACAGGGTTAAGTAACTTTCTCAGGGTCACACAGCTAGTAAGTGTCTGAGGCTAGATTTGTATTCAGGGAAGATGAGTCTTCCTGACTCCAGGTCTGGCAGCTCAATCCACTGCACCACCTCGATGCTCTGCTATTTCCAATTAGGCAAGGAGAAAGTGATAGAGCATTGGACTGTTCTTTTTTTGGACGATAGCTCTTGAAATAAGCTTTTACAGCTTTAGTGTTGTTCCAGGCTATGGGGATCTGGAAGTTCAGGAATCTTAAAGATTTTTTTCCGGATACTCTAATTCTACAGAAAAAATGACAGTGTGTTGAACTGTACATTTGAACTGTGGAACACGGTGAATGCTTTCAGGCTGCAGGTCCCTCCTCAGGGGAGAGACCAGTACACATCTGTATTATGGCTCAGATACACCTGTTGAAGCTGTAAATACAGCTCATACAGGTGTGTTTCAGGTGGTAGAATCTGTATCAGCCTTGAATGTGGAACCCTTCTTCCCTGTACTCTGTAGGCACTCACCTGTATGGGTAAGGTGAACTTGGTCACAACCTAAGGGGCAGTGATGTCAGGCAACAGCCATGAGGAAGATGATGATAACAGCTAATATTTCTCTAATGATTTCAAGGTCAGAAAACACTTTTTCTGTCACAACACTGAGGAAGGTGCTATTTTCTACTGCAAGTATTATCTCCATTTTGTGGAGGAGGAAACTGCAGCTCAGACAGATGAAAGGACTTGCCCACAGTCACACAGCTTAGCCCAAGACTCTTCTGGCTCCAAATCTAGGGCTCTTTTGACATTTGTACCTGGTATAAATTGCCTCACTTCATGGTATAAATGTTAAGAAAATAATAAAATGAACTAACCTGCGTTTTAATTAAAATACAGTCATAACCATTAATCTGCTCTTAGTTCTATTTATCTGCCAGTCTTCAGCATTCTAAGCTGAATCACCCTGCAAGCCCCACTGTCCTGGGCCCTCTTTTCTTCACACCCCCTCCCTAGGTGATATCATCAGTTCCCACGGGTTCAATTACCTCCACGTAGATGACTCCCAGATCCAGGGGCCTGGTCTCTCCTGAGCTCTAGTCCTATGTTAACAATTGTCTTTTGGAGATTTGGAACTGGATGTATTGCAGGAACCTCGATTCAACATATCCAAAATGGATTTTGTTGCCTCCTCCCTTGAGACCCTCCCGTCTTCTGAACTTTTGGTTTGGTTCCCCCTCAGCTCTCCGCTCTCCCACACCCAGTCAGTTTTTTACAAGTCTACCACCACAACATCTGTTGAATCTATTCTCATCTCTTACAGTTATCCCATTCTCTCTAATATGGTGACCACTCTAGTTCAGTCACTTGTTTTTCACCTGGACTAGTGCCATAGCCTCGTAATATATCTCTCTTCCTTAAGTCTCTCCCCATGTCTCCTTCAATCCATCCTCCACACAGCTGCCAAAATAATGCTGAAAGCCCAGGTTTGAGTATGTCACTGACATACAGTAGGCACATAATGTTTGATGACTGATTGAGAAAAAGCTTCCTATCAATTCAGACTGTCCAAAAGCAGGACAGCATGCTCCGAGAGGTCATAGGTTACCCATCGCTGAAGGTCTGCTAGAGGTTTCTGTTTAGATATTGGTTGGATTACAGAACACCTGCCCTTCCAACTCCCTTATCTATGGATTCTAAAGTCTCTTCCAACTTTAAAGTTCATCTATTATTTTAGGCCACTAGGATCTGTACTCTGATAACACGCCTACCATTAATGCCAGCTCTATATGTGTATGTGTCTCTTGCTTAGGCCAACATCTGCAGATTACGATTAACGGTGCCCCCTGACTGCCCAGTTCCTGAGCAAGGCGAAAGAAAAGAGGAAAGAAAGGAACAAGTAAGTAGATCTGGCACCTGAACTCTATCAAGTGAATGGTAACCGGACTTACTTTAAAACAACTACAAACACCAAATGACCCTTATGCTTCTTAGCTCTGCTGGTGGAGGCCTGCTTTTTCCTTGAAAGGCTATTCACTGGAATTGAACGTCAGGAGCTCAGTTAATAAAAAGTACCATCATCCCTCCCTGATCTCATTTCACATCTCCCCAGAAAACATACCTTTCCTCCCTGTCCAGGGCTGCCTTCCTTTCCTCTCTCCACCCCCTTCTCCTGTTTCTTCATGAACACTGTTGAGCTATGTTACCTCTGAAGCCTTTGGGGATACTGACTTTCTAGCAGGAGGCACTCTGAGGAAAGGTCCCTCTCCAGCTGAGAGGTGTCACTCACGAGAATCAAAATGCAGCATTGTTTGCAGGTACTGCAATGTTGCCAAGCCTTTCTTTGCCACAGACATGGTAGACTAGACTCTAATTACTCAGCCAGCCTCAACTCTCCCTCTGTTGGAAGGAATTTTCATTGACGTCACAATAGTGTAGATATCTTGGGTTCTGTTTAAGGCAACTGAAAAGGTGGGTGATAAGGTATAGGCTTAGAGAAGTAAAGAAAAGGAAGGGAGTATGGGAATGGACCTCTGAAAAGCAGGTTGGGCAAAGTCCCATGATGCCAAGCCCCCAGGCAATAACCAAGGGCACACTTGCTCCCTCTGTACTCTAGAAAAGTACAGAAAGTATATGTTATTCCCAGGTTACCAGGCAACTACAGTGTTGACCTCTAGATTAGCCTGGCTTTAGAAGATAGGGACCTAAGAATGTTCTCTCGAGATTCCATAACAACTTAGGAACACATGGTGTAGTAGAGAGAACTTGGCCCAGAGTCACAGGACCTGAGGTCCCAACTTTGCCACTTACTAGCTGTGTAAGGTTGGGTATGGTTTTGGATAAGTCACTTAACCATTCTGAGCCTCACTGCCCTCACCTATTCACCCAAAAAATAGCGATGGTACTTGCATTGTCTACCTCCAGGGATTATTGTGAGGGTCAAACGAAAAAATATGAATGATAGTTCTGTAACTACAAGATATCACATAGTAGTAGCTCACGCTCACATAGTGCAGAAAGGTTTACAGCACACTTTCCTCACAACCTTGGGGGTACGGGTGAGGCAAGTATTATTTAAACCCATTTTACAGGTGGGGATATAAGGCATAAAAGGCTAAGTTATTTGCCAGGGGTCACTATAGCTAGTAAGTTTTGGAACTTAAATCCTCTCTATTTGAACTCCTATGGTTTAACTGAAACCAGTGCTCTTTCCATCATCATATCTTGCTGCCTCTCTATTAATCTATCATCACCATTGTTATAAAACAGTTTGCCAAAATGCTAGCTTTTCTGTCATGTGTGGATAACATGACACACCAAAAAAGGACAGTGACATTATAGATTAATATCCATGAAAGACAAGCAAGCAAAATAAAGAAAAGAATCTTTCATAAACTGTTAATATATCATACTGTGCATTTTAACCAAGTAGAACTAAATGAAAAATGGCTTTGCTTTTTGTCTCCTTCTGATTTCATCTGAAATTCTGTTTAAGGCAAATGAAAAGGTGGGTGATAAGGTGTAGACTTAGAGAAGTAAAGAAAAGGAAGGGAATAGGGGAATAGGCCTCTGAAAAGGAGGTTGGGCAAAGTTGTAGTCAATGTGTATACTTTTCTCATTCTATGACCTCCTTTCACATAGCTTTCCATGATTCCTTGTATTTGTCATTTCAGTACACTGATATACCTTTAATATTAAGGGTGGCATAGAGGATAGAAAACTGTCCTTGGAGCCAGAATACCTGGGTTCAAGTTTCACCTCTGATACCCACTGGCTATGTGACCCTCAACCTCTCAGTACTCTAAGTAACTCTATAAGATTGTAAGCTTCAGACAGTGCCAACCTGCAACAATAAAGAAATTTCCTCACCAGTGACTCTCTTTAACACTGCAAAGGTCCTTATCTTTAATATACCTTAATTTATTTAGCTATTTTCCAATTATTGAGCAAATTCTTCCATCCTTCCTTCCCTCCCTCCTTCCTTCTGTCCCTCCCTCCTTCCTTCCCTCCCTCCTTCCTTCCCTCCCTCCTTCCCTCCCTCCCTCCTTCCCTCCCTCCCTCCCTCCTCCCTCCTCTCCTTCCTTCCTTCCTTCCTTCCTTCCTTCCTTCCTTCCTTCCTTCCTTCCTTCCTTCCTTCCTTCCTTCCTTCCTTCCTTCCTTCCTTCCTTCCTTCCTTCCTTCCTTTTTCTTTCTTTCTATTACAAATAGAACTGCTATGAATGTACTTTTTACAAACAGGTATTCCTAGAGACAAGAGACCCTTGGTTCTCTTCTCACAAATGCTACTGCAGTATAAAAAGTCACCACTGCCTTGACTAGCATCAGAATTGAGCCCAAGAGAGCCACCTTAGCTTAAGTTATAACTTTGTAGCCTCCTGACTGAGCAAGGAAGGACTAAGAAGATTGCTAGGACTGAACATGAGTCCAGGATAAGTACAGTAGGACAGCAAATGAGAAGGTACTAACTTCACAGGATTTTGCGCTGATAATGTACAGGGCTATGTAAAGGGGTGGGAGTGGCAGAAATAGGTGTATTAGAGCTCCACATTGAGACAAAAGACAAAACAACCTAGTCTGGCAGTGTCTCATTGGCAGCAGCAACTGAGACTGGCTGAACAATTTCTTCCAATTACTTATAGACATCCAGATATACTGGGCTTTTCTGTGGGATCATTAGCTTTCTAGTCAACAGAGAAGCATGTCTCCCTAGACTAGAATGGACAGGTCCCGAAGGAGCCACATTTACTCACATGAACAGATAGTAGAGGGAAAAATATCAACATAACAGAAAAGGATGTTTCTGATCTGCTTGGTCTCAAAAGTCTTCTTCTAAAGGAGACACCCACTAATATCTTGCATTATTAGTGAGGAGACATGTAAGTAGTCAGATTGCCAGCTGCAAACCCTTATTACTTTTCATCTTTGAAGGCTATAAGCTCTGTTAATACAGTTTTCTGCTGTGTGTATCCTGGTGATTTTCCTTTCTCCACCCTCCTCTCCTTTTCCCCCATGAACGCTGTCTGTGTACACAATTCAGCCTTCTCATCTTGTTTTGACATCTCCCTTTTTCTTGTCCCCTCCTTCCCTGCCTATGTGACATCTGCTTTGGAGGCAAGGTAAGCAAGTTAGCAATTTATTATCCACAGTGAGTTACTCACAACATAGCAACGACAGTGAACTACTCATAAACAAAAGTAATCGTAGCTTACTCAGCCTAGGACAAGTATCTCTTCAGCTAGGTTCCTGTTGGATAAGGCACTGGATTGGAAGCCATACTTTGTGGTCTTGGCCAAATTTCCTAATCTTTGCCAGCTTATTTGGTCTCTTCCATACCTTACTTGGTGTCTAAGGTGCTCAGTTAGTGTTTGATGAGCACTATTTTAGCTTGCTTACAGAGTGCTTTCTAAATTGTCCCCAGTCAGACAAATGACCCATGAATTGGCCATTTTTTAAAATGCCGTGTCTTATTTGTGGAGTCAAGTTTGAAAATACCCCCCCCATGTGTGTATTGGGGATGATAATTGCATTCAGTCACTGGAAAATGGAAAAGTAAGAGCGCATGGAAAGGGCAGTACTTTCATTCAATAGTAAAAACCTATGAGGAAGAAGTCATAACCAATAGCATTTTATATTTCTCTTTGCTTTAATAATAATGGATGAATCAGAACTTTCTGCCCTCCTGACTCTGACATTGCTGTTTATTTAACATCATAGGCTGTTACCAAGTAAACAGTTGTGCCCGTCGTAATCTGGTTTCTATGTTGTAGCTGAGTGGGCTGATCCAATAAAATGAACTGATAAAATAAATGCGAGGGAGATGCAATTACTCTATAGTATATATATATATATATATATATATATATGTGTGTGTGTGTGTGTGTGTATATATGTATATATATGTATGTATATATGTATATGTATATATATGCACACATTATATATGCATATACTATACATATAATATACGCACACACACATATATACACATATATATATATATCTGTGAATGAATGAATGAATGAATTAAAAAATTTATTAGGTGCTTGTCATATACAAAGCGCTATGAAGTTGCCTGGCACGTAGTAGGTCCTTAATAAATGTTTATTCACTGACTAGACTTGAAGGAAAACAGTCCACTTTGGGGAAAGGTTTATCCCTTGTTTCACAAGGATTGCTAGTGCCATGTGCAATGCCTAGAAGATCCTTGCCTCCCTCTCTTAGTAGTAAGAGCCCACCTTCAAATAGCTCCAGCAGCTTATATTCTCATGGACATACTCCTGTTTGAACATAGTAAGTAATTAGTAAATGCTTTATAGTTCACTCATTCATTCATTCATTCATTCATTCATTCATTCATTCATTCATGTCTCTGACTCCTAGAATGCTTCCTGAGAGCTGCCTAGTGGACCACTTCAGAGAAGGGGAAATTTGTACAATAACTACTTGGGAAAGGGGCTGAGAAGGGCAAAGGGGACCATCTGCTTCATGAAGGAGAGTGTATCATAATCACTTTGCCCAGAAGTTAAAAGAAATCAAGATAAGGTCACCAGGGTCCAGGTTCATTTGGGAGCTTCTCCACCAAGTTGGGAAAATACTGTTTGGATATTTAAATTTTGTCAATCAAATTATCTATGAGTTTTTAAGTTCTTTACTCAGTGCTATGGTCTGTTTTTTTAAATATAGAGATAACAGTCCTTGAGTCTTAATCTAGGTCTTATTTTCTTTTTTTTCTTTCCCCAGATTTTTCAGGCCTAAGCTATTAGATTTGCTCATATAAGATCTTACTACTTCTTTCAGAAATCTTTCAAGGAAACTTGTGTGTTTTGAAAGGGAAACATTGTAGGGGAAGGAGTTATTTTCATTTTTATATAATTAGGCCACTGAAAATAAGTGTAAGATTTTTTCTCTGCTACAACTGTTTTCTTCTGGGCTTTATAAAAAATTAGCTTCACTAATCAAGCACTTCTGACAGACTTGTGAATGTATATTTCAGGGAATATCCAGAAATTACATGGATTTCAGCCAGGCCAAAAGTCAGATTCCAAGATTTAGAGTTGGAAGATAACATGGAAACCATCTAGTCCTACTACCTTATCTTACAGATGAGGCAACTGAGTCCTAAAAAAGTTAAGCAGCTTCCCAGATCACACAAATAATAATTAGCGAAACTGAGATTGGGGAGGCAGCATGGTATAGAGGGAAATGCATTGCACATGGAGTCAAAGGACCTTGGTTCAAATCCCAGGCCCTCTGATCTGACCTTGGATAAGTCTCTTAACTTCTTTAAGTCTTATTTTTCTCATTTGTAAAATAAGGGTATTGGATTAGATGACTTCTAAGGTCCTTAG